AGAAAAGCAAGGGGTTGCCAGTGGGTTTCCGAGCGGGAAAAAGCTGTTGCAGCTACTACTGTAGGAGCCTGAATACTAATCAAATTTCTGTCCATTCTCATGTTCCGAATAGACTCGAGTCGAGGATCATAGACTTCAGCTGCGCCTCAAAACACTATCAGTAACTTTTCAGGCATCCACAGTACACATGTGTATAATAAGACAAATCATTATGAACAGTAGTCCTTTCAGCAATAAAGCAGTCTCGACACTTCCACGTAGACTCAACACTAAACCCAGGAACTCTAAACCATAAACGCTAAACCTTAAACCCTAAACCCTAAGTCCTGAACCCTAAGCCCTAAACCCTTAAACCCTCAACCCTAAACCCTAAACGCAGCTCGGTGAGCCGAAGGGTCCAAGAACCTCGAGAATCGGGTGGGTGGTAGCTTACTTGAACCCCCACACCCTACCCGTATTTTGGAACACAACTTTATGTCTAGTATCTTCTCTAAACAAAATAGGGTACCTTACATACGGGTAGGGTATAGAGGACTAGGTACATGCCCCCGCAAAGCTAGTTATGTCTTGGTTCCCTAACACAACAATAACGCAACTCAACAGCTATCCCAAACTGCAGCCTAGTAAATGCAGGCAGCATTTTGGGAAACCTGTTTTTGGACTGTCGGGTAAAAACCCTTAACTTTTCAGTAGATTCAGAGCTCTAAACCCTATAGCCTGAACATTGTGAAGTCTAAACCCTCAACATCAAACTCTAAAACCCTAACCCTGATCATCTTAAACATCCTAAACCCCAAAGCTCATAGCAACTAAAAGAAGCTGAACACCTATAGCCTACTTGGAGGCCCATAGGACTTAGCAACTCCTAATAACTGGGATTATAACCCTACTAATCATTGGCGTAACCCCTATCAGTCCATTTTGGGTGATCAGAAGTAGGGTTATAAGTCCAGTTATAAGTAGTGACTAAGTCCCATGGGCCTCCAAGTAAACCCTAAACATTCTAAACAGCTTAGGCATCCTAAACCCCAAAGCTCACAGCAACTCTAAGGAGCAAGCAGAGGCCTTTCACAAAGGCTTTGACACTGGGCTCCTGCTCTTGGAATGCTTCCGGCTTTGGGGGTTTGAGGGTTTTAGGGTTTAGGGGTTTAAGGCTTTGGGGTTTAGGGGTTAAGGGTTTAAGGGTTTAGGGGTTTAAGGGTTTAGGGTTTAGGGGGTTAAGGGCTTAAGGGTTTAGGGGTTTAGGGTTCAGGGGTTTAGGGTTTAAGGGTTTCAGGCTTTAGGGTTTAAGGGCTTCAGGTTCACTAGTAGGTAGTAGGAGCGCGCAGGCAAGAAAGGCCAGCGCCAAGCTGTTGGCAACCTAAATCCTACGTGTACGGGTCGAGGGTTTGGAGTAGTTCGCACATTTGGCCCTGCATAGTCAAAGGCCCCTTAGCGATAGATATTCTGAAGATACTATTACTCGTAAGAGCCATAATCTAAACTTTTAGTATCCCCCTCACTAAGTCCTATAGTAGTCCCCTATATACTCCCCTATATCAACCCCTTTTAAGGAGTTTAGACCCTAAACCCTAAACTCTAGACCCTATATAATCCCCTAAATCACACCCCCTTTAAAGAGTTTAGACCCTAATCCCTATATAATCCCCTAGATCAGCCCCCTTTAAGAAGTTTAGACCCTAAACCCTAAACCTTATATAGTCCCCTATATCACCCCCCCTTTAAGGAGTTTAGACTATAGCTCATATGCTAGAACGAACAACACAAGCCAAAAAAAGGGGGTAGGGTAGTATCCGGGGCGGTGATTTGTGCTTGAAATCCCGGATCCCTTGAAAAGGGTTTAGGGTTAAGGTTTAGGGTTTAAAAGGTTTAGGCTTTAAAGGCTTTAGGGTTTAAGCTTTTAGGAATCATGATTCAATCAAACCAGCCCTGAACCCAACACCCAACCACTTGGCCGCACTTTTCTCGCTATTCTGCGGCTGCTGATCCTGCCTTCGCAAGCAGGTTGCTTCGCGAGCCAGCCCGCACATCTTGCTGTTTGTTCAACCCTTCACCCGATACCCCAAACCGTAGGGACGAAGGAATGAAACAGAACATAGCTGCTTTATCTTTTAGGGGGCTTAGGCTTCAGATTTTAGGGTGGGGGGTTTTGGGTAGGACCTATGACGCCCTAAACCTGAACAAAAAAACAAACAGGTCAGGTCATATGTATGGCTGAAGGTTTAGGGCAAAGGGCTCAGTAACAGTTGCCACCATATTTAATCTGACCCCTTTAACAGAAATTACTGAGAGGCGGCATCTCCCAAAATCAAGAGAGTTTGCGCTTCCAGCTTGTCAAAATTGAGGTGCCTTTACCGACCCGCATGTATGTGGATAAATGAAAATGTATGTAAATTAACAATGGATTCAAGAAAGGCCCCTAGTTTGCATCCATGCGCACGCACCGTAGGGCAAACAACGCACAACATCAACATCGGCTTCTGAGGCCATGTTAATCAGAATTAAGTGGATAAGGTGCGCACGACAGAACTGTTATGTTCAAGTTGGAAAGAACCGTGCAAGGTTTAGGGTTTAGTTTTTTTGCAACCACGGCCGCCCCAAACCCCTAAACCCTAACACTTAGGACACAGGCAGGAACCTGTATTAAGGGACATGAGCAAGATCTTCTAGCGCATTGTTAAGGGTTTAAAGTTTAGGATCCTTTTGGCGCGGTAGTATGGCGACTGGCTGGCCTAGAGATGCGTTATCATAAAAAAGAGTCTCAAAATGAGCCATGCAGACCTAGAGCATCCTAGTTCCTCTTCCGATGGTATATTCTAACCACTTAACAAAAATTACGTTATCTGGGACCCCAATAGAGGTAGCCCGCTAAACCTAAACCCTAAACCCTAAGCCCATTTCGAGAAACACCAACATTGCAGCCTTCGGCCGTAGGTGATACGAGTGAGAGCGGCGCTTGACGCCATCTCACGGACTTCGTCGCTTCTCCAATCAAAGGTCCTACTAAGTGGATATAGTCCCCCTTAAGCAAATAGAATATGGGGTATTTAGGGTTTAGGGTTTAGGATTTATGGTTTAGGGTTATAGTCCCCCTTAAGTAGATAGAACATGGGTTATATATGGGGATCAATCCCATGTTCTATCTACTTAGGGGGGACTGTAAGGCTTTCAAGAAAACTGTTAGAGGCGGCCGTTGATAGAGGGACTTCCCACTCTTGGAAACTCCCATACAATTTCTAAAAGCACCAGTGCTCCCTGGAAGCACGTGGAGTCTACCACTAAACGCTCATTCTACAAATTACCTCTCCTTCCAGTTCCTTGGTGACCACTCAGAGCCCCGAACAGGCCGCGAACACAGCTGGATGAGGCTGTTCAGGTTTCGCTGGAGGCCTTTCATTTCTGCCTGAGTAATCCATCAGAATTTAGGATTCGAGGCTAATCCATCAGAGGCTAGGATTTAGGTCTATTCCCTTCATACTAACCTATCAAGGACCCCCGCCCCACGCCTAATGCTAAACATTCCCCACAAGAGACATTGTATGTTGGGGGACATATCAGGGGTGGTTGGGGGGTAGTATTTGTGGGAGATGGCTCAGAAGCATGATGTTACGAGTATAGCCACTGCATGTCTAAATCTCAGTATCCAAAGTTGCAAATTGTCTTTGCAAGTATTAGGTGTGCACACACCCATAATCACATACGATGTGGGTAACAAGACTAGTTACCAGGAAGGTATGGGCAACACACACTAGCAAACATAAACCTACAAGCCAATGACATGGGTTGGGTTGTTTCATTGAATTTGGGAAAGTATCATGAGCTCGAATGGTCAAGTAGAAAATTGGTCCCTAGACCCTGGACCCTAAACCCTTACTTCAATCCACTCTCATGCCTACTGTCGACTCAAGGACCACGTTAAGCCCACAGTCAAGGTTTAGGCTTTAGGGTTTTTGGGTTGGTAGTTACAATACCTTAGGAAGAAGGTTTCTGCTTCAGGGCTTCTGGGTTGGGAGTTACAATACTTTAGAGACAAGGTTTTGGCTTTAGGGCTTTGGTTTTAGGAGTTACTGTACTTGAGGAACAAGGTTTCGGCTTTAGCGTTTTGGGGTTGGGAGTTACAGTACTTTAGGAACAAGATTTATGCTTGGAGGTTTTGGCTTTAAGTTTTTGGCTTGGAGTTACAGTACTTTGGGAAGCTTTAGTGGACGCAAAAGGCCCATCAGCAACACCCTGCTGGCAGGCCAACAACCACAAGCGTGCAACAGTTTGACCTCAGCCATCATAGCATGAACCCCAACCATGTATCTATGTAAACCTCAGATTCCATGTCATATTAAATTTGATTCCCCATGATTCCCCGAGGAAAGCCAATCCAAAACCCCAAGCCCCCAGAACCTAAACCCGAAAACAGTAAGACCTTCACCCTAAGCTGGCCTCCATGAAGGATTGAAACTTGCCCTGGTTTTTGATCATGGAGGTCTGGTCTTGTATGAGCTGGCCGACCTAAGTCCCTATCTTCTCCCCGCTACTACGATTTGGGTTAGGGTTTAGGCTCATTTGATTCTAGAGATTTGGGTTTAGAAGTTCGGACACTGGGCATAAAGCGCAACAATAAAGGCCGGAGAGGGTTTATAGTTCAGGGCTGAGGGTTTCTAGGTATCTCAAGATGGGGGGGGGCTATAGGGTTTAGGGTTGGTTTAGGGGTTTAGCGGTTTAGGGTTAAGGGCGCGGCAGCCTCGGGAACTTCGGCGAGACGCAAGGACTAAACGCGGATATGAGGCTTTCCTCAAGGACTATATGAGGATGGACATACAGCTTTTGTGAACATGATTTCCACTTCGCCCTGGGATATTTAAGGGCTGGAAGGGCATAGTATAGTATAGGTGCCCACCTGGAGGATTGCATGATAATGATTCACACAGGGATTAATCTGACAACCTCCTTTGGGTTTTGAAAGGATGTTCTCGGATGCGACAGGTGCTAAACAGGAACCAAGAAGCATCCATGGCCTTTGCTTGGCCTCGGAACCGCAGGCACCCCATGAAAAATTCTTCCACATCAACAGATCCGCCTCCGTCGGAATCGAGCAACTTGAAGAAAGCCCAGGCATCCCAGACATCCAAACCCAGTGCTTCAAAATATGAGCTGACTGCATCAGAGTTGATGTTCTCCTCGAACATCTGCAGCGTAATCACCTCACTGTTTGCTAGCAGAACATCAAGGCATACATCCCAATAGAAACCCCTATATCATGACCCATAATTAGAACGGCTTCCATATTTTTTGTCTATCCATACACCCTGACACTAAACCCCAAGAAATAGCTCCCGTTTTCTTTTCCATTCTTTGATTCCTTCCTAACAACCCGCCAATTAAACCTAAAACCAAAACCATTGTTCTCGGTCAGTTGCAATTCTCCGTTTGCCGTTCCATGTCGGCTTCCATTCCAAGCCCTAAACCCAAAGCCCGTAACCCTAAACCCTGGAACCCAAAAACCCTAAACCTTAAACAAGCAGCAAGTCACTCCACCATCAGTCGCGCCCAGCCTTCCGAATAGCTCCTGGATCTTCCGGACGTGCTTCTCTTTGTTCATCAACATGTTCCTGGGTTTAGGGTTTAAGGTTCAGGGTTTAAGGTTTAAGGTTGAAGGTGAGTCTGAGGGTTAGACATTTTCCTGACTTGCGGCTGGTGCATCACATGTTCCCAAAGTGTGCATATAGTCATTTCCCAGTTTTTTCATTTCTGGGGACCCTACGGGTAATGAGGATCGTAAAGGATGCAGGAGTTGTGATAATGACCAAGCTTGTTGTGCTTGAGGGTTTTCCATCCAAACTTATTTTTGGGCCATGGTGGGCATGAGACCGTCCATCCTAAACCCTAGAGTCAACGCGCATCATCCTAAATCCCAAACCCTGGCCCTGGCCCTAAACCCGCAAAAGTTACGCACTGGACAATCAAGATTCTGCATCAAGGTCACCTGATCATTTTGAGCTGATTCAATCGCTGACCTCAGCTGGAATCCTGTAAGTTCAGCAAATCACGCATTGCATTTTTCCATAATGAAGGCTCCTACGTTTCCAAAGAAACGAGGTGGAATTGCCATTGTTTGCGCATGTGTCAAAAAAGAAACCCCTAACAATGCAAACGTCAAACACATCACCCACATCCTGAGGAACTTTCTATACGCTCACCAAAAACCAGAATAATGACACGGACCCAAACAATTTCCAAATTCAGAAATGTGGCTGGCAGAACACTGCAGTTACAACCTGAGCCAACTAACTAACTAACTAACTAACTAACTTTGTTCCGGTGCCAGCAGCCCCCAAATGGACAGGGCACCACTGTGGGCTCACTACACACAATTAAGGGTGCAGTGCAACCAGCGTGGTTGCGTCCCTCACTGAGAAAAGTGAATCCCCGCAAACATGGCAAACAAACAACCCAAGCAAACAAGCATGAGTGACAAACAACCAAGCAAGCAAGGACAAGCCAACCCTTCTAAACTAAAGACCCCATCTACTTGCCCAGATACTTTTCTGAACCTGGGACAAGTAAGGAAGGATCCTATTGGCCTGCGCCTTCGTCCCCCAACCCCACCGACAGAGGAGGGGGGCAACGAGGGATGGCCGGTCTCATACCCTGCAGCGGCGACTGTGGACACAACCAACAAAGGTGAGCCCAAGTACCCAACGCAGGACACCAAGGACAACGATCAGAAGCAACCTCACGACGCTCACGAAACCAAGCCGGACTAACGGTGGCACCAAGCGCACCGAACGACAACCAGGATCACCCATCAAGGATCTCAAATGCTTGAAATCACAACGACGAATAGCACGGATATCCACCATGCCAACATCTTCAACCTCATGTCTGCCGGACGACAAAAACCGAGTCCAGCAATACTCACGCCAACCATTACAACCTGAGCCGTATGTAACTTTGAGGTGCAAATACCCAAAACGGGCAAAGCACAGGCAAAGAACTTCATGAAGCTCTCAGTGACATAATCCATCCCCCCTAACATTAAAACCACCCTACTAGTAATCAATAAATTCAGGGGCCTAACAATCCAGAAGACTACTTTTAAAAGGGGAAGACGATTTTTAAAAGGGCCACCTCAAAATGACTTACGGTGGCTTTGAGGTCATCAGGGCGTATGTATAGCAAGAAATACAAGGGAATTAGGCATGCCCTTCAGCCCCTGGGGGTTGACTGTTTTTCATTTGGTTTTCGTCAAGGATTTTGTATACAAGAACCGAATGCAATTTCAATTGATCTTATTACCATTCTAGCCGTATCCTATCTAACTTTCAGTTAAATTTCATTGGATGTCAGTCGGTATTAATAGAGTCGTAATTAGTTCTGAATGTATTTTGAATGGAATTTAATTGGGTTTTAGTTGATTTTAATTCGATTCCAATTGATCTTTTATTGCATGTCAATCAAACGTCAATCGGTTTTAACTAGTTTTACTTCGATTTCATTTGATTGTAAAAGGAATTTAGATCAGATTTCAATTGGTTTTACAGGGACTTTATAATTCAATTTCAATTGCTTTTGAAATAGGATTTGCTTAAATGTCAGCTGATCTTAATAGTGGATTTAGATTCGATTTCAATTGATTTTGATACCATCTTACTTGATATTCCAACTGATTTTGCTCGGAATTTAATATTTAAACTGATATTACTTCGATTTTAGTCCATTCCAATTTTTTAGTGGACGTTAAATTAGATTTCAAGTGATTAAATGGATCATAACTCGACTTCAGTACGTCATTAATTAATTCTCCCATGTTATTAATTACTATTTATCTTAAATATGTTCATTTTCCATGGACTTTGAGCGGATTTTACAGGCAGCCTCCCAATTTAAGCTAAAGAAAACATTTCCCACATGATTGATGCGAATAGGTATCTGTTGGGGAATATGTTCAGAACTAATTAATCCCCTTAACGATCCCTTGCTAGGCCTGGTTTTGGTATTAGCTCATACGTGTTCGTGTTACATCGACACACCTCGCTCGCTACTGCTTTGCAACTGAGGTCGGCTCGTTTAAAACCGCAAAATACCTTGGCTTCTGCAAGCATCCTCGCCAAAAGATTTTGTTTGACCACTTTGCGAACGAAAAGACAAAGCGGTCAGAAGCCAGTCGCAGCCAAGATACGTGAAGGAAACGTAGCCAATATAGCAGATGACCCAAATGGCAGAGATCTCCTTTTTGTTCAGGTGGTAGTTTCCCAAATTAAGGGACCCCAATATAGACCCCCAAATACTATAATCCTTATTCTAAATGGTACCCCTAATTTTGGGAAACCTCCCAGGTTTCGGGGGGCTGATGGTGCAGAAGCGGGGCTCCTTGAAACCCCGAACTCCTAGGATTTCGGGTTTAGGGTTTGGAGTCTGGAGCTTAGGGGCTTTAGGACAATGACAGGAATGCAACAGCGTCCACACCTTGACTAGGAGCCCTGTGTAATTTCCTCTCCTTCGTACGAACATCTCCAAACCTCAAACCGTGCACCATATCAAATGCCGGGAAATCCCTATGTGCAAAGCCTAAACCCTAAGCCCTTCCCCGTTTTCATCACGCAGAGGTCCTTTAGAGGCGACAGAGCTTGCTCCCAGCTAACACCGCCGGACAAGCTCATGAAGAGAGTCAGCATGCTATCGAGTAGTGATCCGAAATACCTTGCTTTGAGTTACAGGGCTTGGGGGTGTTGATGTATCTCCAGTACCTTTGGCCCCTAAAAGGGTAAAGACACCAAATCCGGCACAGATGCGTTTTCCTGAAGGTGCATGGGTCTAGGTAAGGCTTGCCTGTAAGCCCAATTATGCAGCTTAATAGTGATTAGCCCGTGATTTGTAGGTGTAAGCCATGAAACTGTAGGTAGCTGGCGTTACCGGTCGGTGGGGCTTCAGGACTTACACAAGGAATGCACCCAGAGGGACAATACTGCTGTATGATGATAGTAGTATGGTGCTGGTGAAGGTAGAGGCAACACCCAAGCTTTGACCACCTCTGGGCAAAACAACACCACGTTCCCCATGACCCTGGAAGTCGAATTGACGTGAACAAGCCACATGTTTTCTGTTCATTTTTTAAGTCTCGCATAATCCACATTTCCCAAATACCAAGAAAAAAGTTCATAAACCCTAACTAATCCCTAATCCCTCCAACATGCGCTAAAAGCAAAACCCTGACCCGCTGCAGAATAGTTTACGTAGTGAACAAATTTATTCAACTCATGCTTGTCATGGCCACCATTCTGCTCCCGGTGCCACAACAACACTCAGAAAATATGTTGTTACTGTCCCCCGCCTTTCATCACTGAACGAAATACGTTGGAACTGTTTTCCGCAAACGCAGCTCCAATGTGTACTCCTAAGGCTACTTCTACAAACTAAAGCTGCGCTACTCTTTTGGCTATTTGTACTAGAATGAATGGTGGATAACCCTAAGGGTCCAAGTATGCAGGAATTAGGTACTTCGGGGCTGTGGGAATAGTTGATGCAGTACAGGTTTGAGGGGAAGCATATGCTTATTATGTACTTGGGCACTCAGGGCAAGATGGCTACTTTGGGATCCATTCCCCAATTCCTGACTAGCCAGCCCTGTAGTAGCTTCAATTTCTGCATTTCATTCCTACTGACAATGCAGTACCTGAAGCCCAACTGTAGGTAAAATGATGTACCAACACTCACCAAAACAGGGAGGAAAGCCGTTATTCAACACACATTGTTGGAGCTCAGAAAAACCTAAACCCTGAACTCTAGACCTTAAGCCCTAAACCCCTCAGTACTCCAGAATACCTTTCGCCGGCTGCTACATCCTGCAACGGAGGGTTGGCTGGATCGCTCTTGAAGTCGTTAACCTGAGTCAAAACAGAGTTTAGGGTTTAGAGTTAAGAGTGTCGGTGTCAGGATCGAACTCCCTGAACCCAAAAACTAAACCCCGAACCACAGAAGTGTGCAGAATACTGGCCTTTTTGGCCAAATTCAAGGGTGCTGGGCTGTTGTTTTACAACCCTAAACCCTGGACCCTAAACCTTGAACTTCTACACCCTAAACTCCTACACCCTAAGCCATAAACCCTAAACCCTATCCCTACTTTCGGGGGGTCAAGGTAAGGCTTCAGGGTCTAGAGGTCTAGGGCTTGGGGTTTAGGGGTGTAGGGTTAGGAGTTCAGGGTTTAGGTTTAGGAGTTTAAGGGTTAAGGAGTTTAGGGTTTAGGGTTAGGGCATACAGCCACCACATGAATTTTGGCGATCAGTATGGACATGGCACTCGGCTGCCATACTAGGCATCCGACTGCCCTGGGAAATCCACAGAATTCCAAGCCCAGAGCAAAACTCTCAACCCTGCACTGGACTCTTTTAGCACCAAAGTAAAACATCTTGCTCAGATTGATTCTCTGAAGAGAGCTTTAAACATAACTCGTAGGGAAGCATATCATTTAGGTCCACTCTCTAAGAAACCTCAACCATTGGTTCGTGAAAAAAAGGATTTGGTTAGCTCGCGTCTTTGAAATTGAACTGTGAAAAGAAAACGGTTCTGCCTGGCATCCGGGTATCAGCCTGCGTGAACATCACGGCAAAAACCTGGGTCTAGAGCGAATTAACGTTGACTGCGACCGCCAAGTCAAACCCTAAATCCTAAAGCTTAAGCATGAAATCCTACTTGGACCTCGAAAGATGGATTAAACAATGATCTGCAATCTGGAAAAATTGCCAGCAGACAGTTATTCTACATACGTCGGGGGGTTGAGGTAAACAATACTTTCTGAGCAAGTTCATCAAGGATGCTCATGGTCAGTTCAGACCATGATCTGAGCTACATAGATCCAACACGGATTAAGGTTTAGTAAGAGTTTTGGGATCGGGCACCCCTCCCGCAGATCAGGCTGCATGAGGGTACTACTCATAGTCATAACTGCTTTCTCTTCGTTCTTCTGACGCAGTTCAAGGCACATTTGGCAACACGATATATACTCAACCAAGACGCAGCAACATTAATGCCCGGCGTTTTTAATACTAGGAGAGGCGAATACCCTGCTTCTGATTGTACTCCTGCTTCAAGCACAAGTCTAGCAATGTCAGCTACCCTGGCAAAAACAATGTCAAAGGTGCAGCTACGTCCACTGTCCATCAGCATATCATGACCCTGAAACTTCAAGTGCACATCTATGCAAATAGTGAGACACAAGATGGTTAAACCCCTCAACCCAGAACCCTGAACCTAAACTGCTGAGCCCGGAGCATAAACAATCAGTACCAGCAGAGTCATGGCCCACACCAAGGCTTTGAGTGTGTGGAGGATTGATGTGACCAGCATACGCAGTGCGATAACAAACCTTGGCGGCGAACGGAACACTCGTCATAGGGCCTGGTTCCGATGGTAAATACCAAAAAAGGGGCCCTTCTGCATACCTGCCGAAAGAGCCAACCGTTGTACAATTCTCCACTCAAAAAAACGGGGGCTCCTACTTTTTGGAAATCCCATGTGCTGAATTGTAGGCCTAAATCGTCTCGAATGCTTGGCGCGGCAAGCTGGTGCTAGACACCAGATAAAGACATGCCGTAGAAGCTTCATGCAAAAGGTGTGATGAACCCTGATCCCTAAACCCGCGGTCATGAGGTAGATATGTTTTGTGGTCATCAGGTAGACAGTGTTTGTAAACTGCGGTGAAGGTTGGCGGGTCTAGGGTATTGCAAAGCTCCCTGGTAATTAAAGACTACATATGAGCTACAGTTAATATTTCCCAAACAGTGAATGGACTTGGGTTCTTTATTGGGCACCATATTAAGGATGATACAAGGATATTTATTTAAATACAAGAGGGGCTTTTATGTCCAGTGCTAATGGTACAATCGCAAGCCGAATATTGACTTTAGGTTATATAAGTGGTCTGCTGAGAATCTCTATGCCCTTAGAATCCCTACTTGGAGGGTCAGGGGACTTCAGAAGTATGCCTGTACTTCCTTCAAGCTATCATCCCCATTACGAATTCACTAAGTCCCCTGACCCTCCAAGGTAACCCTGAACCCTAAACAACCCAACAAACCCTTAGCGCTAAACCCTAAGCCCTGAACCCAAAACCCTTAGCCCTTAAACCTTAGCGAACCCCAAGTAAGCCCTTAAACCTAAGCCCTAACCCTGGATCCTAAACCCTAAGCCCTATACATCCCTATGTAACCCTATATAACCCTAAATAAACCCTATATAAGACCTATAGAAATCCTTTATAAAACCTTAAATAAAACCTATATAAAACCTATGTAAACCCTAAACCCTAAACCCTAAACCCTAAACCCTAAACCGCGTATTCCCTTTGGGAAACAGCAAAATGTCCTTCAAAGCGGGTTAGAAACCGGAAGATGCTCACGAACTGGGCAGTGCGCAGTATGCGGCTGAGCCGGACGATCCTGTACGGTTTAGGTTTTAGGGGTTTAGGGTTTAGGGCTTAGGGTTTAGGGTTTAGGTTTTAGGGTTTAGGTTTTAGGGTTTAGGGTTTAGGTTCTAGGGTTTAGGTTGTAGGGCTTNNAGGTTTAGGGTTCAGGGTCCAGGGCAATCTTGAGAAGAGCACAGATTAAGCGTTGTTTCTGGAATTAGAGGGGGGGGGTCTTTTTTGGGTGATCCCCAGAATAACCAACATTACGTTGGGGCCCATTGTGAAGAACACTCACTGTTGGAAACTACCATGATGGACAGCAGAACAATAGCAATGACAAATACCATGCCAGCAACAACGCTCAAAGGGTTGCGCTTGTTGATTGTGAGCCCTAAGCCTAAACCCTCAACCGTGGTTTGATTATAAGTCGTGGGTGTAGCGCTCGCAGTAGGGCGGATGGAGGACATCCTGCAAAGGTGGGGCATGTAGGAGCAAGAGCAACAGAAGAAACAGCAGAAGAAGAAACCCCAACTAGTAATCACCTGCAGCTGAAAGTCGCCTGACATTGTTGACACTTCGCCCTTCATTGCCTCCTGAAACTGCAAATAGTACCTTTTTGGGGCCCTCAAGTCTAATAGTGCTAGCTACGTGGACCTTTTTTTGGATCCAGAGCCTCATCTCCTGTAGTACTAGAGGCCTTTCACAGCCAAATGTTTCACATGTTTATCGAAGTTACATAAGGGTTGCTGTGCGGGGGACCAAAGGACTCTCAAACTCACCCAAGCCCAAACCTTAAACCACAGCTACTCGAATGAAGGCTCACAGGTCCTAGTAACTATACTCCACATTCGGCTAGGCATCCTCTAAGTGGGGTTGGCCTGCTTACAAAGCCCTCTTTATAACCTACTTAAACAGTCTTCAGCGGCGAAAAGCCCAAACCCGAAACCCTAAAC